AGGTGGGACCCTTCGCCGCCCGCGGGGACTGGGGAGAATCGCCGTCACCTTCGCTTGTGGTGGGGTGTCCTGCTGCAGCTGCGTGCTGGGGCGGCCCCGGGGGATGAGCGCCCTGTGCACATCTGTTGGGGCCGGGACGTGCAGCTGGCGGGGCTGCGAGGGCCTCACGGGGGGTTACACGGCCCCACAGGGCTGCAGCCCTCTGCCCTTAAGGGGAGCTGGGGAGAAGTGAGAGTATCGCTCTTTCTCAGGTGGGCACTTTTCCCTCTCCGTGCCCAAGCTCTGCTGGTGAAAACCCAGTCACCAAAGCTGCGGGTCGTAGTCTGAGGCGCCTTGCTGCAGCGAGGCAGCGACAGGGGAGGCAGCAGGCAGACAGCTGCCCCCGGGTCGGGTCCTGGGCGCGTTTGTCTCTGTCTTCGCATGAATCGTGTCAGCCACGCTCAGGACACGTTAACGAGGTGCCTTATTGCTCATCTCGAGTCCCAGTTGCTTTTGTGGTGACTCTAAAGTGCTGTGGAGACATGATGCTTAGAAACGATTCTGTCTTGCTGCTTCAGAATTCTCCTTTCAGAGAGGACAGTATTGCCTTAGGCATAGGTGGATTCATGCATTATAGGAAACTATTTATTATAATGTGTTATATGTATTAATGTTCTTTAAAGGTTGCTTTTTCATTTTGACTTTTTAGCCAAAAAAAAAAAAAAAAAGAAAAGGTGTCGAAAATCTGTATTAGGTTATGACCCAGAAAAGTTATTAGGGTGACTTTAAAAAAAAATCAGCTTCTTCGCTGAGCGTGTGCAGTTTGGGCTACACTCATGAACTCATGTTGTACTAAACATATCACACGTACTTACTATTTCAGAATTACGCAAACTCTGTTCTTTGTACTCTACCTTTCAGACCCCCTAGTAGGGCATTTTATTCTGCCTTTTTTTTGGTAAGACTACTGTATGTAAAAATACAGTATGTGTCAAATGACTAGAGCAGGCTGTATTCACACAGAGTTTATGACTGTCTTTGAAAGCCTACAAAGGCCATACAAACAAACTGAGACCTTTTATTTTCTTCTTTACTTCTGTTTTATTTCCCAGAAGTGACAAGTGAGTTTAGAGCCAAATTTTGCTGCCTTCCCTTAGGAATAGGAGCTTTTATCCAGTCGGAGGTTTGTGACTGCTCCTGCTAGAGCGCAGGAAGAGTTCTGGTCCTGGGGGTTCTGTGCGGACGGTGGGATGAGCAGAACGTTGATTCCTCCAGAAGAACACCCCTGCCCTATTCCTGGGCAACTGTGGAATCGTAATATCGGCGAACATGTATTGTTACGGATAAGCCTCCTTCGGAGCATTTTGTGATGCACGTTGGGTGTGAAGAGCAGGTTGTGTGAGTTGGGGGCTTGGAGAAAGAGCATGCTGTCTTGGGAGTGGCTTTCTAGGAGGATTTCTCCTTCTCTCTGGATCCTTTTCTCCTTGGGTTGAATCTCTTAAAAGATGGTGTGGGTGTATTGAGAGGGAACTTGATAGCTTATTGGGAAGATTCTTGAAACTAATTCTGCAGTCAGTGGATGGCACGTGCAAAGCATAGCTCCTGCCTCACCACATTCCCTCTGATACGCAGCAGGAGCAGGCTTTGAAGCCTTTGTGAGAGGAGAAACGGGGAAGAGCTTTGGAGAGACCAGAAAGGACACCTACCTTGGGATATTTTTTACTCTTGCTGTTTAGTGTTATTTTTCTGGTGTCTGCAACTGTACCCTGCTTACCTTTGCTTGTTTTTGCCTTGCTTGCTAGAAGAGAAGATTTCTAGGCATTTTGAGTAAATGAGCGTTTTGATGAGATTGGATTACGCTTGTTTTAATGTTCAGGAGCTTTTCCAAACATCGACTTTTTCTGTGAGGCAGGCAGATGTGGTAGAAGCTCCGTTTGGCTGGAAGGCATTTGGATTCCAGCCCTTCCATGCTTAATGACAAATATGTGAATGTTTAAGTCAGAGTTCCCCCAGTGGAAAATAATAGCTGTCCAAATCCCTCATATGTCTACACTGGCAGCTTTCATTAGTAACGCAGCGCGTGTTAGGTGAATGTACATCACAAGGTAGGTGGAAGTTATGCAGCAATGCAAACCCTGGGAGCAAGGGTTTCCTGCACAATTATGGTCGAGGTATCTTAAAAGTGTATTTTTTTTTTTATGGGTACCCAAAACAGTTGGGGGGGGTGGGGTCGAGAGGGAGGTCTTTTGAGTCTGCTGGCAATGGCTGTCGTAGTTTCTGTAGCTGAGCTGGGCAGTTTAAATACTGGTACGTGCATTTATAAAGGCTTCTGGAAATTCAAAGAAATCGCCTCAGCCTAGTCAAGTTGAGGGAGACTGGAAACAGAGATTACGGTCTGTGGTTTCAGTATTTTGAATACGAGTATCTTATATGGAGTGAGTCCAGTTTTTAAAAAATGGGCTATTTGGCATAGTCCCTTGAACGTAGAGTTCTGGAGGCTGAGTGCTTGCTGGCTTGGTTTGGATAGCTTGCAGTGATTTCCTTTGCAGGTGAGTAAGGAACACGCCCTAGAGGAAATGGACAAGTAAGAAGACAGATGCCTGTTAAATCTGCTTGTTGATAGTTTTCTCCTTAGGATTCCATGAGTTTGGTTGGGGGTGGGGGGGGGAAGGACACTCTGTTAGTGTTAAGAGTTTTCTCTTAAGCATGATGCTTCAGGAAGCCCTCTAGGCATCAGTAAGTTGTGTTAGCTCACACTGGTCACCAAAAGATGTGGTTTTAATACAGATGGGTACTCCGAGTCGGCCATTCTTCATAAGCCTTCACCAAATGAAGAAGAAGCCCTCAAGGATAGCAAGGCAACCTCTGGGAGGCAGGTATGTAAAAGCATATTTCATCTGACTTTTCAACTGGTAGTCTGTCCTAACGTAAAATAACACTGTTCAATGCGTAATGGTGGAGGAAGAGTTCTGTAGATTAGAATTGTCTTCTAATCTGAAGTCTAGCAGGCTACAATCTTTGTATGGTTATAGAGAATGCTTGCTGTTCTCTCCTGTTTTCAGAGGATTTACTTAACTTTGGTCAAATTTCATTCGTTACGTTTGAACAGACGAAGGAGAGCAAAGAGAGCCTGGAGACACAGGTGGCCTCCTCCCCTTCACATCAGATCTCTGCTCCAGTTCAGGCACCTGAAAGTCAACAGACAACAGAACATGAGGCTGGGCAGATGTTTTGGAGGGAATGTGACAAATGCCTTTTCTGGGAAGACAAGCTCAATCAGGAGCTCTCTGATGTGCGAGAAACCAGCAAGAGCTTGTCTGAGCAGCTGAGCAAAGCTGAAAGTAGAGCTACTGGCCTAGAGAAGAAAGTTCACAAACTGAAGCAGTCTCTTAGGAGAAAAACATCATTTCTGGAAATGACACAGAGGGCACTATGTCAAGCCCAGTGTCAGGCCAAGGAACATGGTCGTGCTCTGCAACGTGAGAAAGAGCGAGTGGGCGAATACACTGCAGAACGGGAATCTCTGCAGGAACAACTGGCCCACCTCCGAAATGAGAATCTCTTGCTCCGTCAGCAGCTGGGAGATCTGCAGAATCAGACCACCCAAGAGAAACTTGTGAGTGCTGTCCAGGACGGACTGAATAACATTTTCAGTAAACGCAGAGAAGAGGCTGAAGAGGAAGTTTACCTGCTGCAGGCAAGGAACAAGGACTTGAATGCCAAGTGTATTAATTTAAGAGACCAAATCCTGCTGTGCGAGACAGACAAAGTAGAAAGAGAGGTAAGGTATATGCAGGCAAAGAATGACTTTAAACAGGACAGTTCTTGAAGGCATTTTACGCTTCTAAAATTCACCAGGTATAAGTTACATGCATGGGAATACCTCCTTCTGGTTTGTCCTGTTTTTCCGGGGATGGTGAAAGGTTTTGGCAAGCAGGATATCCCTGCTTGGATCTGAGCAGAGAGCAGAAAGAGTCATTTGAGTCTCAACTCTGATCAGGATCAGGTGATTCTTCTGTATAGGCTTTTTCATCTTGTTTACTTAATCCTTTTTTGTGCCCCGGAGAGTGGTTTCATTTAGTCCGTCCGTGGCACCGACCACACCACAGTGAGCGGTATAAAATGAGAACTACTCTGTAGGCAAGAGTGGAGAAATGCAGATGCAGAAAGCAAGTGAAGTGATAGGGGAAGGAGGAGAGAGAATGTCTAGGAAAATACTGAGGATGGGCAGATTGAGAGGAGGAGAGTGAGGAGAAGGTGCCTGGAGATGAGTGTGAAAGACAGAAGGGAGGAGGCCTGACGAGAGTAGTGACCGAGGAGGAGTTGCTGAGTCCTGAGCAAAGCAAAAAGTGGTTTTCCTTCCTGTTCCTACAGAGAAGGAATTGCTTTGGCACAAAGTGTTACTGAAATAGAGGAGGAGGAACGTTGTCCAGTTGCGTTGGGGGGGGGGGGCGGTTTCGGGAGGCTGACAACATCACAAGAAGTTAGTTTCAGCTGCACTCTGGCCTAAGCTTTCTCTCCCATAGCTTCTGAGCAGAGAGCAGAAAGAGTCATTTGAGTCTCTTTCAGCCTTCTTCAACCGTGTACTTTTGTTGAGGCGCTGTGAAAGACTACACCACCAGTGAGGAGACTGACTAATTGGGAAAGCAGTTAAACTGACTTTGTGCAAATGGCAGAGCGTGCTCCCACGCAGAGTGCTCACATAACGTTGTGCGCCTCCAGCATGCCTGAGCTAAGCGTTGCTGCCTTGCTGTCTGGCGGTGCAGGACCTCTGCCCTGAGTTAAAAAACAGGTGGGAGCGGGGGTGGGAGTGAGGGGTAAGCCCCTAACTCAGAAAGCTGCAGGTGATGGGGTGGGGGGAAGTTTTTTAGGTTGGATTCTGCTCCTAGAAATTTATACTATTAGTGTTAATTCCAGGTAGAGTACTGATTAGGAAGTTTCCTTAACAATTTTGTTTAATCTTCCTTGTCTTTCTTGAAAACAAGACTAATCACACCCACGATTTAGATACTCTGGGATAAACGTTTGTGTCCCTTGGTGACTTGAACACTGATCTGAAACGGCACATCTCCCAATAACAAATTCAGAGTGTCTGAGAAAGCCAACGACTTGAATGTGTCGGAGGACCACATTATTTCTCATTTGTCAAAGTAACTTTTGAAGGGAGGGGTGGGGTAGGGAATGAAGCCCTGCAGCCTTGTCAGGCATTGGTACTCTGCCTCTCTTCTTCCGTACTAAAATACAGGTTCCTTGAGTAGGTATTAGGAACGCTCGAACTACCTAGATGGTAGGAAATAAAACCTAGGAGTGTAAAGAGAGCTGTTAGTCCAAAATGAGCTCAGTAGGAAGACTGCAGAGTCTGATTTAATACACACTTTAAGTGCATTCAGAGGGGCTTTCACCGATATCCCTACACACAAGTCTGTAGACACATGCATTTGTCTCCCTCTGTGTGGTGGAAAAATACCGTAAAGGATGATACACTGAGTTGGAAATGCAAAGCCCTGACTTGGATTGTTGGAGTAATCGCTGCTGTCAAACCACAGCTCTTGCAGTTGCATCATGTTAGATTTTTGCCTTATCTTAAAGAAATCCAGCCCCACAAAGACACATGTTCTGCAGGTTCCAAGAAGAGCAATGTTTAGCCCTTCCTTAAGTGTTAGGCAACAGAAATCTTCCTCAAGGGGTGACATTTCTCTAGTTGTCCTTAGCTGACAAGGACGGCTAGAGGTCACCAGCTGTGGAGAGTGCATGGACAAGATTTCTGACCTTTGTAGCTCACTCTGAAAACTGATCTAAGTCTATGAACTAGTGAGAGAGAGTAAAAATACAGATTTCACATTCTTACCTTTTTCTTCATACTTGTTTAACAATATCTCATTAGAGAACAGTCCGCCAGCTGCGGCGAGAACTTAGTGAGGCTCTCAGAAAGCAGCGGATGTCGGAAACCTCCCTTAGAGTTTCTACCCGTTTGTGTGATGACCTCAAGGAAGAAAAACTGCACTTGCAAGAGGACTTGGACAGGATGAAAGCCAAGGTATACCAAGTCTGTAAACATACAAGTATCCACGAAGCTGTTCTTTTCCTGCAGCTGCTGGAAAAGAACAATGTATATTGAGAACAAATGCCAGGGAGATTTGTCTAGAGACGTTACTAATTCTAGCGTAGTTAATGAAGTAATTCTAGTGTAGTTGCTCATTGAGCCTTGCTCAAAAGGCAATCCTGATCATTTTCCAGACCAGAGCGTGCTTTTATCTGCAACATCACAAGAACAACTGGTCTGGGTTGCAATAAGAGGCGATCCTGTGGTTCAGACACACAGCGTGAGCAAGAGCTCTCAGGTTCAGGCTCTTGGGCAGTATTGCAGTGATCTCCTTTCTCTTCGCTGCCTCCTGCCCTCTCTTGCCCTCAGGCACCACTGGCTTTTCAGGCAGCTGCTTTCAGGGCTGAGGGGCAAAGCAGCGGGTTAGGAGCAGCCTCTGGGTAGGAAAGAGCAAAGCAGTTTGTTCTCTTTTGAAACTCGCTTCTGCTCTGATGCCTTCCTAAACTTGACAGAGGATGAGCTACTGGTGTATTGTAATCTGTCATGTGAAATGCAAACATGGTTCTTACCTGAGTCTGTTTGGGGATACCAGAAGCTATGCACTCCCCAAATATCTCTGGACTTGATTGCTTTATTTCCAAGTATTTCTTGTCTCCATCTCTGTACAAAGATTATGTCTGGGTCCCTGTTAGTGCTGTTTTTTTTGAGAGAGGAAAGTAACCTTTTATTTCCTTTTGTCTCTTCCAATGTGGTTCATGATTGCTGTCAGTCAGTCCTCACCTTTTGTGTCTTCCCCCCTACATTGTCCCTTCCCATGCATTAGCACAGGTGTTTGTGTAGCAAACCCCAGTGAGAAATTGATCTTTTCTTGGTGTTTTGCTACAACGCAGCGTGGTTCAGCGTGCAGGTACCTGCAGGGATGAGGAAAGGGGCAGAACAGGAGGGCAATGAAAGCCCTGGGAGAGGACAGGACTGCTCCTTTTGTCGACTGCCTGTTTATGCCACTTTGACTAAGAATGAAAACAGGAGCTCATGTTGTCTTTGCACCCTAGAAGTCTTTTCAACAAGAAGGATGAATAACCTGTAAATCACTTGCGTTGGTTTAAAATGTAATCTCCTACTACCACCTTCCCCTCTGATTGCATACATTCAGATTCGTTGTTAAAGCATTGTGTTACATAGGTGTGGAAGGTCTCTAAGAACGTTGTAGAACGAGCCCTTGCCATGGTGCTTATTTATTTATTCATTTATTTATTAAGAAATATAGGCAACTTAAATCTGAGTTGAATCTGAAGTTGCTGCTGTTGATGGATATTTCTGAAGCGTTTTGATTTTGTTTTCTCCTATAGATCTTATTTTATAAAAGCTAAGGATGTCAGAAATGTATGCACAATAGGTAGGGAAAAACTAAGTTTCTGAGGCAAGAAGGGGAAGACAGACTTTTAGTTGACGCCTGGGTCCTACTGAAAATCTGTTAGTGTTGTATAAAAATCTGAAAAGAGAAACGACGGTTTTGATGCAGGGAGACTAGAGCTTCTTCCTCTGCTCTTACAAAAGCTATTTTTTGAAGCTTTCAATGTCATAGTAACAGTAATAGCTATTTGTGATGAATTCTGTCCTGAGCTTTGACTGTCTTGCAGCCTTGTGATGGGACCTGAAACATGGGAGATGTTGTTTCTGGTATGTAGAGCAGGTAGCTTGAGAGTTATGTATTTGGTTTCCTGTAAGCATAGGAGTAGTCTCATTGAGCAAGCGACCTTGTGCTTTTCAGCCCAAGCACATGACTGACATGCTGCTAGGTTGGAGTCTGTGCTGTTCAGGTGGGTTGTGGAGTGGTTTGTGAACTCCAGCCGGAGAACTGAGAAAGGATGAGAGCTGAAGCAACCCTATCAGAACTCATGTGAAAGATGCAAAGAAACAAAAGAAACAAAGAAACAAATGACTTTTCCTTGGTTGAAATTCCAAATCAGCGGTTTTGAGCTATAATCTTGACTGCTACGTTTGATGGATTTTCACAGAATGGAGGAATTCTAGACCTCTGTGATGAATTGCTTTTTTCCACTTTCTACAGGCCAGTGAACTCTTCCAGCAGCTGGTGATGGAATCCACAAAATCTCTGCAGCTAGAAATTAGCAATCAGAAGATGCAAGAACAGGTGGTTTGCCTCCAACAGTGCTTACACACCAATACGGTGGATCATGCCAAAATAGAGGAGTATAAAAGAGAGATTGAAGAAAGAGCCCACCAAAAAATAAGGCAAAAACTAGAAGAAGTCAATCTCTTTTTGCAGGTAAACTTACTCACCATTTGCATCTGTGCTCTCCATTCATTAATTTCGTTCTTTAAGTATTTTGTTTTGGGCACCTAGTTCTCTTTTAGTGCCTTTTTTTTTTTGTCTTTCTTGTATGGAAGTTGGAGAGCTGAAAATGGCCGCATGAAAGTGCTCCTGTGTGCGCTGTGTGATATGCATGTATGGAAAAATACATACTCCTTGACTGCCTTCCAGCAGCACCTGTGGATCCTTCAGTCAAAAAGCCTGCCCAAGGCAGGCTTCCTGTTTTGTCATCTTGCCTTTTTGTCCTCAGGATGTATTGTGAGGAGTTGGCATTACTGTGCATCATCCCCCTGGCCTCTGTATTGAGTAGAGGGAGACCCCAGGTCAAAAGGCAAAGCATGGAGAGGGGGGCAGACTGTTTATATCTGCAGTAGGTGGTTGAACCACAAAGGGATATCTTTGTCCTCTGATGGCCATTATGGCTGAGAGTCTGCGTGGCCAGACTCACAGGACCGGCTGTGTCATTCTCCAGACAAAACTGCTCAGAAAACAAGTCACTAAGTTTCCTGCCCTTCTGTGGGGGAAGGAAAAAAGAAGAAGAAGAAGAAGAAGAAGAAGAAGACGACGACGACGACCAGCAAAACCCATTTAGTAGTTTCAGATTTCTCCCTTGATTGTTGCTGGTAGTGAGGAGACAAGGTTCCTTGGTTGATTAAGGCTGTGTTTTCAAAATCAGGTATGTGAAATGGAGTTGGGGGGCAGCGTTGTCTTTTCCTTCCTGTTTCTTGAAGTTGCCTTTTCTGCTTTAGACACAGGCAGCCACTCAGGGCAGATTAGAACAAATAAGTGCCAGTAATGCATCACTGAGAAACCAGCTGGGGCAGAGATTCAGAGCTCTAGAATCGGAATTGGCTAGATTACAAAACATGCAGCAAGACAGTGCTTTGCAAGTAGCATTCGCTTGGGGAGAAATGGAAAGGTATGAAAAACGCGCTCTGGTGGATCTGGAAATGAGAAGCTACCTAGCAAAAAAACAGGCAAGGTGAGTCTATGCTTTTTTTTTTTTTTTAAGATAAGTAATCAAGTATTACCTTGTTTTAATCTTGGGTTTTGGATTTTGTATTCAAAATCCCTGTCTTGTATCTGGTTAGGATGTATCCAAGTGTAAGATGGCGTGCTAATCAAAAGAGTATGGTGTGATCCCTCCCTTATTGAGGGAGGGATTGCCTTATTGAGGACTGTTCTCATTTCTCTTTACCGTCTTAGAAGAACCAGAAATATGTATGCATTTATAGAGCGTTTCTGAAGTTAGTATTGTTTGAACAACTCTGCCTTTTGGTGGCTCTGTAATCACCTCATCTTCCTGTATGGATGGAGGAAAAGAGGCATTTCATTTCTGATGCTGTTGTGCTCGACCTAGAAATATATAGAAACGGACTAGAGAACAGACCATGAGTCCGTGAGGCAAAAATAGTCAAAATGGCTTTTCATTATACCAGTACATCTTACGTTTGAGTTTACTTTGTGGGGAAGGAGATGGCCTGACAGATTACTACCTTCCCAGAAGAGTCATATAAGTAGATAGCATAGATTTCTTTGAAGATCTAATCCTGAGAAGGCGTAAGCTTTGGTAACTCAGCAGTCTGTGTTCAGAAGCCTGATAAGACAGTATAAGACTTGGAGCACAACTCTCAAAGTATGAACAAGAGCAGGTGTGGAGTGCTTCTGCATTTTTCACAGAGCTAAGGAGATGCTAGCAGAAGCCAGTGCTCAGTGCCCTCCCAAGCAGAGGAGAAGCAACTCCTTAATCGCAAGGCCAACGCAACGCAACACCTTAAGGTCAAGAAAGAGAGTGGAAGCTTATCTGGCTCATGCCAGAGACCAAGCTGCTCGTCCAAGCCGCTCACCAGCTGGCCAAGGCTAGCCCAAAGCAAGAAAGGTCTGGGGAAGGTCTTGCCAGGAGCTGGAGAGAAGACACCCCCACTGCTCCCATCCACAACAACAGCCCCCACAGAAAGGCAAAGGAGGAGAAACCTGTGAATAAATGTGTGCTCTCCCAGCACAACTGAGATCAGCTGCCAGTTGGATTCTGCTGGGGGCTGGGTATTAGTGCCATTGCCTGGGGCTGGCACATGGCTCATCCTGCGGGGTCTGCAGGGCTGGCTGTAAGGATTTTGTGACTGGCGTAGTATCCTTGAGCAGCCTGGCCTTCCGTTTGGCCCAGTCCAGCCTGACTGGCTGCCGCTTTCAGGAGTCGGGAGCTGGGAGATGATGCCGATTCTGCCAGGCTGGTGGACCAGCTGGAGCCAGGCCAGCTCTGACTGTGCGCTGGAGGCTATAAGGGGAGGCAGGAAGGGCAGCAGCATGGCCCCAGGGCTGGAGAGGCCAGAGCAGTGCCCCCAGCCCTCCCGGGGGCAGAGACACTCTGGTGCGGTCAAAGCCCAGTTAAATCTGAGCTCCAAGGTGGGCTAGCCCTTGGGGAACTCTCTTATCCTGTCCTTTGCCCCCAAGGCTTTTTGGCAAACAATCCCCTTTTGCTCGAGATGCCAGTGAGAGCAGGCATCTGCATTTGCCCTGCAGGCCCCGCAAGGTGGGGGAAGTTTTGCCAACAATGCCCTGTGCTTTTTGGCAGGGCCAGGAGCGCTTTTGGCTGACCTGGCTGAAGCGCCAGGTCCGGCCATCCGGGTGTGACTTGTGCTGCCCCGCATTAGCCGTGGGTGCAGCAATAACAACACTGTCAGTGCGGGAAGGGACTCCCTGGGCCCTGCTGGGGCAGCACTTGGGGGCAGCTGGAGCGGGGGGCACAGCCCCAGTGTGCAGAGCAGCGCACCTGCCCTGCGGGGGGAAATGAGGGGAATCACAGGGGAATCACAGAATCACAGAATGGCCACAGTTGGAAGGGACCTCTGGAGATCATCTTGTCCAACCCCTGCTCAGACAGAGTCATCTAGAACACGTTGCCCAGGATCCTGTCCAGGTGAGTTTTGAATATCTCCAGCGAAGGAGACTCCACAACTTCTCTGGGCAACCTGTGCCAGCGCTCTGTCACCACCACAGGAAAGAAGTTTTTTGCTCATCTTCAGATGGAACTGCCTGTGTTTCTGTCCATGTCCGTTGCCTCTTGTCCTGCCACTGAGCAACACAGAGAAGAGTCTAGCCCCATCCTCTCGACATCCACCCTTCAGATACTTGTACACATTGATGAGATCCCCTCTCAGTCTTCTCTTCTCCAGGCTCAACAGGCCTAGCTCTCTCAGCCTTTCTTCATAGCAGAGATGCTCCAGTCCCCTAGTCATCTTTGTAGCCCTCCACTGGACTCTCCTAGCTCTCTCAGCCTTTCTTCATAGCAGAGATGCTCCAGTCCCCTAGTCATCTTTGTAGCCCTCCACTGGACTCTCTCCAGTAGTGCCATGTCTCGCTTGTACTGGGGAGCCCAGAAGTGGACACAGCACTGCAGGTGTGGCCTCCCCAGGTCTGAGGAGAGGAGGAGGACCACTTCCCTCGACCTGCTGGCAACACTCTGCCTAATGCACCTCAGGAGACCATTGGCCTTCTTGGCCACAAGGGCACACTGCTGACTTATGGTCCACTTGTTGTCCACCAGCACTCCCAGGTCCTTCTCGGCAGAGCTACTTTCCAGCAGGTCAACCCCCAGCCTGTACTGCTGCATGGGATTATTCCTGCCTAGGTGCAGGACCTTGCACTTCCCTTGGTTGAACTTCAGGAGGTTCCTCTCCGCCCAGCTCTCCAGCCTGTCCAGGTCCCTCTGAATGGCAGCACA